AAAGGGACCAAGGGGCAGGAGGAAGAGAGAGAAAGGGGCAGCACTGGGGAATGAAAGTGACCAAATTATATTGTTGTGTCATGTGCATGTACAAATATGTAGCCATGAATTCCATTATTATGTATAATTATCATATACTAATAAAAAACATTTATATAGTAATAAAAGAGAAAACAACCTGGACAGGGATCATGTTTGCATTCCCAGGGTCTCATAGAGCATCTGGTACATAGTAGGTATTCATTAGAAACATGTTGAATAAATCAATGGCTGATGACATTAATCTTTATCTCTTGTCTTCCAAATTTGTGATTTTTAGGAAACTGCCTTAAACAAAGCTTGTTCAGATCAAAGCACATGCATAAAATCACAGCCAAAGTGTGATATAATGAATAATATATTTGGTCCTGATCCCCACTCCCAGCACAGTTCTTCAGAAACTCTGAATTTTTGCAGTGATAGGTGTGTCTTTGTTATGCTAATGAGCGAACCCACAGGGACCTTTAGATTTTTATAAGAGAAGGCCCTGCCACATCAAGAAGACCAAACATATACCATTAGAGGTTGGAACTTTCAGCCTCAGCCCCGCAACCTCCGGGATGGGGAAAAGGATTGGGATTGAGTTCAATCACATGGCGAATGATTTAATCAATCATGCCTGCAAAATGAGACCCAGATAAAAACTTTAGACCCTGTGCTCAGTGGAGCTCTCTGGTAGGTGAATACATCAATGCGCTGGGAGCGTGGCTAGCCCTGACTCCAGGGAGACAGAACCTTCTGTGCTCTGAACCTTCTAGATCTTGTGCTACACATCTCTTCATCTGGCTGTTCATCTGTATCCTTTATAATAAATGCTAATCATTAAGTACAGAACATTCCTGAATTCTGTGAATCATTCTAGAGAATTATCAAATCTGAGGGGCTTGTGGGAAGCCTTTTTGTGTTTGCCCTGGAAGAAGTGCAGGTGGCTTGGGACACCTGAAGTTTGTGGCTGGTGTCATGTCTAAAATGGGGCAGTGTTTTGAGACTGAGTCCTTAAGTTGCAGGGGGTCTTGCCTGATTTTGGATAGTGTCAAATTAAGCTGAATTATAGGACACTCAGAGAATTAGTGTCAGAGAATTGGTATCAGAGCAAAGAAAATCAGGAAGAATTCCAAGGCAGCTTGAGTACCTGCTTGAGTTTCTCTGATATAAAACAAACAAACAAACAAACAAACAAAAACACATTGTAAACTTAGGATCATAGATTTTATGAAATAGCTGTGTATAGCAGAATGAACATTGTAACCAAATCTTAATAACTGCCAAATCTTGGAAAATTCACTTGATCTTGAAGATCCCCAGTATCTACATCCTTAAAAGTGAGGCTAATGATACCTATCTGGAATGGTTGATTTTATGTGTCCACTCGTCTGGGCCACATTACCTAGAGAGTTAATCTACATTTTGGATGTTTCAGTGAAGGTGTTTGGGATAAGATTCATATTTAAATTGGTAAACTTTGAGTCAAGCAGATTGTCCTCCACAATGTGAATGGACCTCATGTATCAGTTGAAGGCCTGAATAGAACTAGAAGACTGACCTTCCAGAGTAATGAAGACTATGCTTCAATTGTAACATTGTCTAACCGTAATATTGGCTCTGCCTGGATCTCCCCAGCCTGTTAGCCCATACTGCAGCGTATGGACTTGCCACCTCCGTAATTGTGTCAATCAATCCCATAAAATAAATTCCTCCCCTGCCACACACACTCACGATTAGTTCTGTTTCTCTAGAGAACTGTGACACACATTTCATCTGGTTGTTGCAAGAATTAAATGAGATAATGTATTTGAAACCACTTAAAAAAAATAAAGCACTGTAAAGCATGAGGGTAGTTGCCTGCCTAGTACATGAACTGTGTAAAGAGCTTTGCTGAGGTTTGTAGACATACATATTAATAGTCAAAGGAGGTCACAGGATCAACATCCTAGGTAAATGGGTTTGGAATATTACAGAAGAAGCTACAAGACAGCAACCAGTAGGAAAGGCACTTCCTAGATTTCTATTCTGGACAAATACAGCATCTGTGGCCATGAAATGTCAATGTATTGAAGACAGGAAATCATGGCTTAGCGGACGTAGTTCCATTTACACAACCAGCAATAGGCACAATTCTTTGCACATAGTTGTTGTCACATAATTGCTGGAGAATAAATGACTTTTATTTATGTGGCCAATCAAAAAAGTACACTTTTGTGAATAACTAGGTGGAAATTGTCAAATACCTTGGAATTAACATAGGCATTTTGACATACAGCATGGAGGGTTAGAAAACACGTATGTATAGAAGCTCTTCAGAAGAGTTAACTGTCAGTTGATCATAGTCTGTGTGCTAAATAAGGGGGCTGGAAGATTTAACTAGGAGAAGCCAAAGCCAGGACCCCAGGGTGCTTCCTTGATCAAACCTACAGCCAGACCTCCTTCTCAAACAAAATGGCTTTGCTTCCATGGACCTTTGCTGACCTCTGCATAATAGCAAGGTGTAAATATAACTTGGAGAAAATATCAGGGTCACTGCACTGAATGATTACTTTTAAACTCCAGGACTGAAATAAATGTAAACTTTAAATTCCAGTCACTGGAAAGCTATTTAACAGCAGAGCAAACACTACCCAGCGTCACTTGACAACTCAGATCTCCAGATGACTTTTTGTGTAGCAGTCAATGCTTCACAATTCCATGAATTGTGGTTTATGTGGGCAGATATTTTTGAGGCTCAGCCGTAGAAGAACATGGTTGCTTTCAAAACATTCTAAGCAAAAAGTTTCAGTCTGAAAAAGAAAACCAGACTTCTAGTCTTGTTGGTATTTTTGGAACTGTGTCTTCATAATGATATTTCCAGGTTTCTCTGGATATGGGAGTAAAAGAGAACCTACCAAGACAGACTGCCTTAAATTAAAACAACAGGACAGATATTAGTTTCCACTTACAAAACTGGGAAAGAATTTGTAAAACATTGCCCAGTATTACTGAAAGCATATCCCTTCACTGCTTATTGGAAAACTATTTGACCAAAAATAAGTTCATTAATTAAAATAATTAAGAAAAAAGAAAAGTTTAAAGAAAGCTCAATACTTTGAAGATACAATTCTACCTCTAAGACTTTCACCCAAGAAAATAATCCTATATCAAAACAAAGATCTAGTCACTCATTCAGGTTCAATGCTGTGTTAATTATAATAGTGAAGAATTAGAAATAAATGCAATGTCTAACAGTAGGGAATTGCCTAAGGGATTTTTACTTCATCCATGTGAAGGAATAGTAGGCAACCATTAAAAATAAGGTTGAAGAAGAAAAACTTTAAACCTACTCTCAGATAAAACTATCCTGGAGCCAATTGAGCCTGGTGCAGGCAATTGGGAATTTGGTCATCATGTTGTTAAAAGAAAAAGCAGTCTACAAAGCACTGTGTACAAAATGTCTATTTTTATTTTTAAAAAACAAGCAATATAGATTTATACATGTGCATAAAAGAAAAAGCTAGAAGAGTAGACATTAAAATGTTGAGAATAACATATCTTCAGGTGGTGGGGTGACAGGGGATTTTTTTTTTATCAGATGCTTTATTCTCCCCTCACCAAATCTTATAAAATAAAAATTCAACCAGCAATTGCCAGGGGTGGGGTAGTTTTAAACATTTTGAACAAAATGAATAGCAAATAAACAAACAAAAAGCCTGTGATAAACTAGGGTTATCTACTAATAGAAGAAGAAAAACTTTTTACAGAGCCATGCCTAAACCCCAGTGCACTTCAGGACTTCACACTCTAAGGCACTTTGTTCAAAATAATTTAATTTAGGCTTAATGGTCTAGCGTGACCTAAAAACTTCACATTATCTTCATTTAACATGAAGTATTTCCTACCCACACTGCGCTAAGCCTCGCATAGTGTGATGAAGTCACTCTGTACAGCTCCAGCATTCATACACAGAGGTGGCTGGACACTGTCACATAAATGTTAGCACACAGACACCACCTTGGAAGGGGGAGGTTTTGGCCATCAATCACCATTCTTTATCTCACCGAAATCTAAAACTGTATCTAGAGGAAAATAAATGAAGAGCTCCTAGCCTGGATCCATATGTAAACAGATCCATCACAGCTTCTGAGGAGAAGTTAGAAATGTCTGGTACATCCTTCACCTCTGGGAGACGATGATGTCACCCCTGGGAGCACCCAGCCTTCCCACAAGTGTCCTTGATGTTTCTGATAGAGTGGATTGGAAGAATCATCTTGTCTATTCATGTCAATCCTCTGCCACTAACTAGTGCAGCTGGGTGGGCAATGGATTTGAAATTTTAAAAAGACTGTTGGTGAAAATGGCTGAGAGGTGGGGTAGTTTAGTTCTGAATAAGTGCCCATCAAGTGAAACATAACACTTTTCCCAGTTCATTTCTAGCTGTTTCTGCACCATAAAAAGGAAAGAATCGACAATATTTATGTATTCATATATAGTTTTTACATATGAATCAGTCAGAGATCCAGAAAAAGTTAGTCTTAAACAAAGCTCACAAGTGTGCCACTTTGTCCACTGTGTGCACTGTGATGACACAGGGAGACAGTTCCAAGCTAACTTTAAACCTACTCTCAGATAAAACCATCCTGGAGCCAATTGAGCCTTGCCTGCATGGGTGTTTTGAATTAAAAAACAAACAAACAAACAAAAAGAAAACTAGCAGACTTTTAAAAACTGACAGTGAATAGAAGCACATAAGTTTCCAAGGAACATGCGATCTCATGGTCTCCCAGTTCATGATGATACTTTGAAACTCAATAGAGAATCCAAGTTAACCCATGATTATGCCTCATCGTTATACCTTCTCTGTGAGTTGAAAGATGCAAGATTGTACATCATTTTACAAGACTGTACAGATACTGCATCAGCCCACCATTCTCTGGAAATGAAAATGGACAGAAAGTCACAGAGCATAGAACTCATTAGCCAGACAGACTCACCTTGCTGTCGCTGATCCTCCTGCAGGTGACAGGTGCTCGGACTGGTGAACAGGTGGCTGCTGCCCTTCCTTTGTGTGGTAGACATGGTACCAGCAGTCTGGCTGTGGCTGGAGAATTGCCTAGGGCATTTCCTTCCCCCAGCCCGTCACCTACACTGGTCCCCAGAAGGCACCCGGAACCAAAGGTACACGCAGATCCTGGCTTGTGTGTAAAACATTTACTCTGCTAATAAACTTCCAAGTTTTTCCAAGTCATGACTCCTGAAATAAATATTTACCAATGTTACTTCTCTACATAAAATGGTGCCAGTTCATTTGGCTAAAAATGAGACTTAGTCCCTTCACTTCAAAGCAAAATGAAACTTTCTTCTCTTGTAGTCTAAAATCCTGCAAAGTCACTATTTCTAACAGATTACAGTTTTGGTAAGTTTGGTAATTCTTGTCTGCTGATGTGAAATCCAATTTCTTCGGTACTTAGCGATGACTGCTAGAGTAAGGTAAAAAGTGGTGCGGGGTTAAATCAAGTGGGATTCCTAAGCCTGTGCCTAGTCTGAGTTGCCCTCAGTGACAGCTGGACTTGTACAGTTCTTAAAGGAGATTGGAAGGAGGAGGAGCCAAGGGACTAGGCTGATTAGCATAGAGAGGCAGGCCAGAAGTGGCCTGCTTTGAATAATAGTGACCAGAGCAGGGATTCTAACGATGTCCTGCTGTTACAGTAATTAAATCTCTGACTTCCAGTCCTTTGTTTGTAATTAAAACACAAGCTGAAAACAGGGTTTATCTTGCATGGATATTCTTTTCTACATGTGAAACCTAAAAGGTACAACTGGAACTGGTAATGAGCTCATGGAAATATACTGCTGGAACTTTCGATTTCTGTAAACACCTCCTAGTCTTCAGGAGAGGGCAGACTCCCTGCCAACGCAACTATTTGGAGTTCTGGAAGAAAAATAAACACACAAAACACGATTTTTCCAGAAACTTATCTTTGTTTGCCCCTTAGACTCTCTATTGCTATTTCTAGGTCATAAGACAAGTGTTTTCTTGTGCTTGCTGTTTCATTACTGTTGCAAAACATAAACCCAAACACCTTTAATTGAACTGAAGTTGTAATGAATGCTGGTAGATCCTGGCCTTTAGGATTCACAGCTCTTTGTGAAGCCAGCAAGGAGGTAGTAGGCAGTAATAATGACAGAGCTGTTTAGCCTCAAAGTCTGTACCCTGCAGCTTCCCGTGCATATTTGGAAATGGGTGCAAAACTTGACACTCTCTGAGAAGGTTATGTCCAAGCCAGATCTGGGTAGGTGCCCTCATTTTACTTTGAGATGATTAACAATTCCCCAAGGATACTTTATGAAATGTGTGACTGTTTTTTTTTATGGTGCCTATGATTTATCAAAATGCTTTTATTGTTTTAAGAACCTATCCACTGCAGTTTTAACTCCATCACAGTGTAACAAGTTATAGAAGTGTGTTGCTACTTGGAAAGAATCCCGTTATTTATTAGAGACCCAGAGTTTCCACTTTAAATGACTGGTATTCATCTCGTCCTGTACAAAAAGTCATGGTGGAAGCTGAGGGTATTTTCTTCCTGAATAACATAAAGCAATCAATTTTTTGTTGATTGTTTTGGACGTCACTAATAAGCATATTATTATATAGGTAAAGAGCCCACAGAACTATAAGCCAGTCCTTGAGAGAAGAGGATTGAAAAAAAATGTTTGCTAGTGAAAGATTGTTAAAACATATAAACAGAATAGCATAATAAGCCCTGTGCACCCATTACTGGGATTCAATAATTGCCAACTCATAATCCTGTCTCAAATCTGGGCGTTTTCCTCTCCCTCTTCACTGCACCGCAGGACTAGAAGCAACCAGACATCACCAAATTCATAAACATTTCAGTATGTATTTTTAAGACAAGAAGACTTTAAAAAACATAATCATGACTGGGATTGTAGCTTAGAGATAGAGCGCTCGCCTAGCATGCATGAGGCACTGGGTTCAATCCTCAGCACCATATAAAAATAAAAAAAAAGATATTGTGTCCACCTATAAATAAAAAAAAATTAAAAAAAACATAATCACAATAAGACTGTCATAGTTTAACATGGTTCTTCAATGTGATTAAATATCCAGGCAGTGTTCTTATTTCTTTAGTGTCTAAGAGATTTACTTTCATAGGTTTTTTGTTTTTTTCCCTTCCTCTTCAAATTGGGACTCAAAAATCCATCCACACAATATACTTGATTTGATTTTTTTAACCCTTTCCAATCTAGTTTCCTCTTTGAAAGAATCTTGCTTGGGAACTACTTTCTATATATCCTAATTCGTGTCTGATTTTTCAAGGAAGAACCCTTCGGTGCCTCCATTTAACAAAAAAATGTTTTTTGTTTTTTTTTAGTTATAGATGGATACAATACCTTTGCTTTATTTACTTATTTTTCGTGGTGCTGAGAATGGAACCCAGTGCCTCACATGAGCTAGGCTAGTGCTCTACCACTGAATCACAACCCCAGCTTGCTGCCTCCATTTTTCTTATTCATTCATGTATGTAAAGCTGGGGGAAGAAGGGAGAGGGGAAGGAACAGTCAACTGACTCAGGCTAAAACACCCATCTCCCCTGCAATCCTGCTCTCAGTAGTGCACTATGTGCCTATGTGTCGCAGGAGTGTGTAAAGTGACATTCAGTGTATCAGTCACAGCGGGGTGGGTGGTTACTCCCACTTCCTCCCTCTTCCTCTACTTACCTTCAGAAACACCACCAAGTTAGGTCACAATGGGCCTACTGTGCGTTACTTTTTCACCTGTAAAGAAGTCAGAATGTGGGGCTGGAGTTGTGGCTCACCAGTAGGATGATCACCTAGCATGTGCAAGGCTCTGGGTTTGATCCTAAGCACCACATAAAAATAAATAAATAAAATAGAAGGTATTGTGTTCAAGTACAACTAAAAAATAAATACTAAAAAAAAAAAAATTAAAAAAAAGAAGTCAGAATGCAGAAGTCTGGTTGGATCAAGAAACATGTCAATAACCATCAATATTTTTTAACTCATAATTTGACTAAAACTAAATTAGAATCCTATAAAGCAAACCTTGTTCCCACATCAACACTCTGAGACCAGCCCCTTTCCAAAGGACACCACTGCTTTCCTTAATCTGAGTTCTTCCTTCTTTGCCATATCCTATCTGTTCAACCTGTGTCTTTGTATTCCCAAAAGTGTACAGGGACATGACATGTCACAGATAATCAATCTTAGCAGCTAGCACTTTGAGGGTAGAACTTGAAAATGCTATTTTATGATTAGAATTTATATCAGACATCATAGTATTTGGCTTAATAATCTAAATGGTAATGAGTTCATAGGATGGTTTTGACTCTCAGTTGAATCATATTTACAAAAGGAGAACATATACATTTGACTCTAGTAAACAAGTAATTTTGCTTGCTTAGTAACCTGCCTGTTTTGAGCATATTCATGATATATAGTCTATAAGCACATCTATTCTTTGAAAACCTTTGGACTGTTTTGAATAACAGGTGCTATATTAGTAAAAAGCAGTAGAATTGCATCTTTCACTTTTATGCTCAAAGAATAAAATAAAAGACACACAACAGAATATAGATTAGAATACCGGAGCCCTTGGGCTGAGCCTTAATATGATTCCCAAAGTGCAATTAGCATTACTAAATGATTATTGTAGTCGAAGTCTGATGATTTAGTGTCAAGATGGCATTTTCTGTTGATTTTAAGTAACAGATCCCTTGATCCTTTGTGTCAAACAATAGTAGGTAGTGTTTGTTTGTTTTTTTCTCCCCCCAAAATCACTCTTCCTTAATACATCAACCAAAGACATCGTGGATGAGGATGTTGGGCTTTAGGATCTCAATTGGCTTTATGTAACATGTATATCATAATGCGCCCATAAAGGTAGACTTCTGTGCTGCAGTAGTCACGTTACTGTAAGTTATTAGCTTATAGAGTTTCCCAGGTAATACAATTGACTCAATTCCCATTATCATCATCTGTAATTGCTAACATTGGTCTTTAATCCATTGAATATCAACATTTGTGTTTCAGTTATCAGAAACATTGCCCCATTCAGTAAATAATGCAGTTGCAATTCAAACTAATTTTGACCCTTCTGCTGACGAGTCTTAGATTCTGTTGCCACAGGGCTCCCCCTGGAGGTCAGCAGAGTCCAGGGTCAGTTAGTAAGGGAGCTTTTTTTTGAGGAGGTAGGAAAGTTACCCAATTATCCTCCTGTAGTTGAAACTTGTTGCTGTATGGTGGTATTTACTCTTCCACAGCTTTACATTCTTTCTACATTTATTGAAGTCTTTTAGCCAGAGTTTAAACAAAATAACACCTAAGTTCAGAAAAATGCCCTTTTACTTTGTTTTAGTGGCAAGGAAACCCAGAGTATAATGGTTCTGATTCCAAAATATCCACCATCTGGGAAGGATCAAATAATCCTGGCTCTGAATAGCATCTAGAAGTGTTTGAAATGCACAGTCATCAGGACCCAAGAGTTTGAGGCAGAACAGAACTCTCTGAAGGTAAATATGCACTAACTGGGGTCTTTTTAAAATTAGAGCAAATAAACTTGCACAAAGTCAAACTTGCTACTTTATTTGAATTTATATTTAAAAGAATAAAACAATAACCAACCTGTGTTACTTCTTCCCTTTCTCATACCCTGCATCCTTAGTTGGGTCTTTGTTCCTACCATTTCTCTTCTCCCTTCCTTCTCTATGTCTTCTTTCACTCATATTCGTTTTTTGTAACTAGATGGAGTATAATATAACTTTAATGTATTGAAAATAAAATAATTCCATATCTAGTGTTTGCTTCAAAATAATATTGGAAAGGGAGATATGGAGGTATAGGAGAAATAAGACGGACCATACAGCGGTAAATACACGTAAGTAATGAGTATAGTGGGTTTTATTATACTTTCATATCTACTTTTTATATTTTTGAAATTTCTATAATAAATTTATAATAAAGAATTTAAAATTTAATTACTCTTGATGAATCTGATTGAAAGGGTATGACAAATACTAGATTATTTTTTAGAGTGT